GGGCTAGCTACTGCAAGATAGAGTAAGATTAAAGGCTTGCTGCTCTACAGCATGGGCTGCCTTTATACAAAAGGCTTTTTTACAAAATAGAAACGTGGCAGCAGCAAATGCAGTGCCTTTTAAAAAAAATTGTTTTCCTCAATTGTGTTTTCCAGCCTGAAGTTTTGCTGACTGTATGCCTCTAATACCCTGTTTCCTTGCCATCAGTATGAAACCTTGTAAATAGGGGAGTTATATTAGCTGATAAAAAGCTGCTGCTTTCCTAAGGGGAATCTGGCAGCTCTGAGACAGAGGAGTCTGCTGGCAGACCCTGCTTTCCTTACAGATCCTGGTGTTYAGAGGGGTCCTGTCAAAGAGAATWCTCRACCTACAGATTTGTGWTTWGGGCTCTCTGCAGTGCATCAGAAARGKGAAKGGCTGGACAAGATGGTTGGTRGGGGCAAYGACATCTAGACRAGCYTAKAAATAATAAAAATTRACTTTTTATCTGTAAGRAAATGGGAAGTGGACATGCACTTTCAGTACATTGCAGAAATCCAAGCAAGGATGAACCCATCACCTGAGATTTCAGGATAATCATGTGAGTTTTTAAATTACCTGCATGTAAATGTTTTCAGAACACGAGATACCACCACACCATGGTCACCTGGATCCCAGTTTGCTGCAGTTCCACCCTGTGTTGGATCAGACCAGAATCTATCAGAGTTGCTGTCCTGCTTTCAGCACTGACCAGTGTCTCCCTGACCACTGGGGAAGTTCCCAGYCTCTGCAGTAAAATACTTGAGGGATTGGGATCTACACACAGAGAGAGAAGATTTTTCCTTTCTGGGCCACAGATACTGCACAAGTTTCAGTTTCCAGCATTTTACAGCAGAATGTCAGCTGTATTTATACACTGCTATTCATAACTTTGGCAATCCCTGTTGTGATYTTTCGGTGAAGCCATGAAATAATTAAATTCACGTGTTCTGGTGTAGCTGTAGTGGCTGGATTCAGTGATGTCCAGTAGCTAACCTCTGCTAGGAAATACTTGTTATTGAGAATACCTCCAATATAACATATTCTTTCAGAAGATCTGCTTGCAGAATATAGTTCTGGTCTGTTGGATCCCACAGAAATATGGCTGTGGAGATCCCAGTGCTGGTGTCCTGGCCATGCTCATCACCCCACCATTTCCACACCTTCTTCTGGCTCTTTTTCTTCTGAAGAATGCACAAAACACCCCTTTTTCTGTTGAATACTTGAGCAGGCAGGGAGAGGTTACTTCTCCTATGAAGTGAATTTGAACACCTCCATTCTTGGCTGCCCTGTGACAACTGGAGATGGAGAGAAATGAGGTTTTTCCCAACCTTTGTCTCTTACACCTGGTTCAAGCAGCCAGATGGAAATTACACTGAGTGGAATTTGCCATAGACTGATGGAAATCATAACCAAAGACACAACTGTGATGGCCTTTCTTCACCAGGAGATCATGAACCCRAATTGTAGAAACCCAAAAGTCAGGCATGCAGGTAAATTTAGTCCAGGAGTGGCTGTGGATCCGTCCCCAGGGGAGGAACTGAAGAAATGGGCTTTCAATGGTGATTGTTACCTTTTTCTTAGTGGTGATAACATGATTTTATAAAATTATGATCAAAAAAAGAAAGGTTCTCTCCAAGTACCTTGTCATCCAGTACACAATTTGTATTTTTACAGCTGGGTATGGACTGGCTTATGTAGGGTCAAATCTGCCTGGAGTTTTTCTGGAAAAACTGTARAAATAGGGAAGAATTAATTGTGTCTTGGTTGAAGAAAATAACATGACTCTTGATAAAAATACAGGGTAGGTTAAATATAGGGAGTCCAGTGGATACTGAGATTTGGGTGGACAGTGAAATCCAAGGGTCAGACACTGATCTGTTCTTCCTTCAATTTTACCAAGTTGCTCAGTGAGCAGCAGCGTTAATGGAACGTGGATTCCCGTGGCTTTGTGCCCACAGTYGGATTTATTGGTCTCTAACAAGAGGGAAACGTTGATTTGAGGTTTTTCTTCTGCTGGAATTGGACTCACACACACACAGAGAAATATTGAATTGGACCTGGCACTGCTGGGTTTGCAGTTGGGCTCAATCATCCTGGAGGTCTTTTCCATCCTAAAAGATTCTGTGATTCATATTCCTGCGCTGGGTATGGATGAATAAGCTTGAGGAGACAAGGGTAAAAGAATTCAATTCAGTAAAGGAAAATTCAAGGGGACAAAAGAAAACACCTTCTAAGTGTCTAATATGTATATTATGGATCAGATCTAACCTTAAAATGAAAAATACTAGTATTTATGAAAATATTTATAGTGTCTTCTTTTTCCACAAATTTTATGGGATTTAAAAGAAAAAACAAAACAAAGCCAAAGCAATCTATCAATAGTTTGGCTTTATCTTTTGTCCCCGCCCAAGTTTCTTGTGCATTTGATCAGTTTGGCCTTATCAGATATTTTGAGACCCTCAGGTGCAAAGAGGTATAAAATCCACAGCAGACAACCCTTAAATGCTGTTTTTCTGTCTGCACCACGTATCTTCTGCTGTGCTCTGTGTCCTGAAATGGTGATGTGGTGGGAATACACAATTGGGTCTGTGTCTGGGGATGGGGAGGTGTTGCAGGAGGGTTTTCTGCTCTTGGCCTCTGGAGAGCTCAGGGATGTGCAGAGCATCCCTGAGTTTATCATCATCTCCAGGCTGTGCCCCCTGTGTCGAGAGATGCCGGCAGAATTTTGGCCAGAGATGATTCTACAAAGGCAATCTCTCCAGATCAAAGCACAGGGCTTGCAATCTTGGGTCATTTCCCTGTGGGATGGGAAATTAGGAGTTGCTGATGTTCGTGTCCTCCTCAGCTTCTCGGTGTGGTGGTGATGGGATGAGAGAGAGCCTGGTGGGTTTGGGGTCTGGGGGTGGCTCCCCTTTTCCAGACTGGAGGAGATGTGGGGGGAACATGAGAACAGTGGGATGAGCTCCAGAGAACACTCAATCCCCAGGGGTTTAGTCTGGGCTCAGCCCAGTCCCTGCTGCAGAAGGGGCTGTGGGAAATCCAGGAGATTTTCTGTAAAGCTCAGGTTTTGCTTTGTGTCTCCTGCTGTGGCGAGGGTGTCTTCCTCTGGGCAGGAAAGCAAATTTTCAAAGTTGACATCAAGGCTTAAAGAATATTTGTGATGGATCCAAATAAATGCCTTGAGCTTAAAAGTGTTAGATTTCACAAAATATAAACTTCTCTTTTCCCCATTGGTCGGCTTTTAAATATTTTAAAATCTGCTTTTCTGTAGAAAATCCAATAATCTCCGGATTATTTTTTTTCCAAATTCATGCTTATAAAGAAAAAAAATAGAAATACTATTTTTTTTTTAGTATCTGTTCCTTATTCAATAGAATAATGTTTGCAGAGTTGTACAATCCAGTCACAGTTATGAACACTCTGAGTAGGGCATGGGCAGYTCATGAAAACTCAGTGTCACTTTTATGTGAAAATCAATGTGTGCACCTGAATAAATGTCTGTCATTGTCATAACTGCTCTTTGGCTATTATGAGGAAAATTTTTAAAAATATCTTTATTTTTTTTCCCCAYAAGAACTGCTGAGAGGAACATTTCTATAATTTTTATACAGCAATGGCTGTTAATAGTTATATTCTAATAGCTTTTTAGCACCAGTGAATGGGACCACTTAGTTCCATAGCTGCAGTCAAAATGAAATTGAAAACACTGAAGATTACCATGGACTATAATTTGAGAACCTCTGCTAAGTGAGAATATTGTTCCTGAGAAAAAAATTGGGAATGTTTACAGTGTCAATGAACATAAAATCCCTGCAACATTCAGTTTAAGCAAAATGRGTATTTCCTTTGTTTGGAAGTGCCTTGCTAAAAGCAGGGATGGAAGAATTGAACAATTTTAGGACTGACTCATAATGTGTTGGTGCCAGTCCATGTGTGTAAACTGACTGAAAGAACAGATGATTTAAGCGATGTTTAAACCCGAGTTCAGCCTCCTAGAAATGCTCCCTGCCCATCTTTTGTAATTACAACAATGGGTGCGTGTTATTAGCATATGCCAAACCCACCTATTTGTATTTTTAGTTGGCTGCCGCTAAAATTCATAAAATAATAGAATGGTTTGGGTTGGAAGGGACCTTWAAGACAACCTTCCCCTAGATCAGGCTTCTCAAAGCCCCATCCAACCTGGCCTTGAACAATTCCATGGATGAGGCATCCASAGCTTCTCGGGGTAACCTGTTCCAGTGCCTCAGCCCCCTCACAGTAAAGAATTTCCCCAATATCTAATCTGAACCTGCCCTCTGTCATTCCCTCTGTGCCATTATTAAAATTCCCTCTCCAGATCTCTTGTAGGCCCTTTAGGTATCTGTTTTGTATTATTTGAAGTCCCTTTGGCACTCATCAGCTCCCAGATCATGCTAAATTTTCATGTGAGCCACTTAATATCCACACTCTGAGATGTGGTGGGTGCAACTCACCCTTTCCCTGCAGCTCCTGGCACTCTGTCCTTCATCCCAGGGATGCTGGCTGCATCCTGCAAAACAGACTTGGACCTGCCAGGAGAAAAAAGTTACTTATCTCAAGCCAAAGAGTCATGGTCAGCTTCGGGCATGCATACAAGACAGTGTTTAAAACTCAGTTTGCAAGTTAATTTAACGTTGCTTTCAAGATATGCTATAAAATAAAAATCAAACATGGTATCTTGCCCAGATGTTGTGAATAAATTAATGCTTCCTAAATTGTTAAAACATTGGTGCTAATATTGGTATTTTGGGGTATAAGAAGCTGCTTGCATTACCAGGAGTTATCCTRTTTAATCACAAATTCTTTTCAGATGTCCATTTGGATTTCAGCTCCCTCTGAAATTCCACTATAGAAGTTACTATCACGAATAACTTTGTGTCTACTGTGTAAATACACAAGGATGATTTCATTGCACTTTGCCACTGACAACAGCCCTTTCTCTCTTTTTCTCCTTTCAGAATCCAGTTTTTTGCTGGGAAACGCCCAGATCGTGGACTGGCCCGTAGTTTATAGTAATGACGGATTTTGTAAACTCTCTGGGTACCACCGAGCTGACGTCATGCAGAAGAGTAGCACTTGCAGGTATGCCCGTTGCCTTTTTGCTGCCACTGGATGCACTTGAACAATTTTTAATCTGCTGGGAAGAATGGTGAGGCTTTGGGAGAAAAGATTGGGGTAAGAAAGGTGGTTTTTTACAGACACTGAAATATTAAAACAGGCTTTAAATAATGAAACTGACAACTTATCCAGAACATGGTGAGGCACTTGGAAATTTATCCTGGCTAGTATTGGTGAAAAGACACTCTAGGTGATGATCCAATAGAGTGGGGTTTTAGGTGATGTAGTTCAAAGGAAYTCTTGTTAGGTTGTTCTGAGTTCTGCTGTTGCCATGCCAGGAGGCAGTGGGCTATTCTAGATATATAAATATTATTCTGTAGCCCACGCTGGCCCCTGTTATTAAGCACACACAGAGCCCAGTAATGCACAAAGTGCATCTTCATTCCCAAGAGGGTGATTATGGTGCTGATATATTTACTCTAAGCATTGCAGCTTTATGGCTTTTTTCTTTTATTGGTGGTCTTTCAGGAGCGAGCAGCTGTGATTTGTGGCTGGCTGTGCATCTGCACCGTGCCTGCTGCATCCTTTAAAAAGAGATGCTTTGGRGAGGGACTGGTGTGTGTGAGCAAAGCAAACGAGGGGCAGAGGCAAGGAGGGAGGGCTGAGATACGAGTTTGTGTAGGTTTTCCCTTCCTGCCTTCGGGGAGCAACCAGCTCCAGGCACTGGAAACAGAGGATGGAATATCTGGAAGTGCTCAAGGCCAGGTTGGACAGGACTTGGAGCAATCTGGTCTGGTGGAGGGGTCCCTGCACATGGCAGGGGGTGTGGAACCAGGTGATCTTTAAGGTCCCTTCCAACTCAGACCATTCTGTGATTTTGTGATCTACAGTGATGGTTTTGGGGAGATAGGTGCTGCCATGCACAGCTGATGCCCCAGCTGGCAGAGCAGGGCTGKCCCTGGAAGCAACACTGGGGTGTGGTCACTGCTCTGATCTGCGGGAAGAGGTGGAAGTGGGATTTAGGATTGCTCTGTGCAGCCCAATGTCCTCTAATGGGCAGTAGCAGGAGATGGGCAGGGGCTGCTGAAATGAAATATTCATTCACAGAGTAGCAACAGAGTCAATAAATTCCGTGGAGCTGGAGGAAACAGCCTGATCACAGCTGTTCTGGAGATACACAGACACTTTCCCCTTTTCTCTCTGCCATCCTGTGTATTGAACYGTCTGTGTTTGCTGTGAGCCAGCACCTTTATAGCCTGTGAACAGTAATTACAAATACAGAATAGGATTGTAGGAAATTGTTGAGGAAGTGAAGGTTTAGCCACGTGTCTGATAATGATGTGTGTGTGCTTCAAATATTGAGAGGACCAGAAGGTTTGTTCCACCTGGGGTTTTGTTTTGAATGTGATAATCTCCTTTTACCATTTGTAAGGATCCTGTTTTGACCACATTCAAAAAGATCATTCAGGTGAATTGTGCAGTCAAGGAGGAATTACTGTGGAAAGTTGAATTGGTAGCAAGGATTCTTTGTTTCATCTTTGTTCTGGACATCCATCTCTGGATTTTGGGGAGCTCTCCCTACACTCAAAGCATGACCAACAGCGTTGTTTCTGGCTCTTGGAGAGTTTGGATGGAGCTTTGAGGAACCTGGTTTGGTGGAAAGTGTMCCTGCCCATGRCAGGGGTTTGGAACTGGATAATCTGTAAGGTCCCTTYCARCCCAAACCATTCAGGGACTCCACGAGTTACACAGGCAGTGTGATGCTTCTTGCCTGTCAGGAGACAATCCACCCTTTTCAGATGAAGTGAGAGCAGTTCAGATTTTCAGTGTGGTTGACATGGCACACGTGGCCTTCCAGAGCAGTGGGAGCTGCTCTCTAATCAGGGACACAGAGGTGATTGGTCTTAAAGGCCAGTGGTGCCTGCTTAGGCTACTCAGCAGAATGTCATTGGGGTGGTTTTTTTGATATCTGGGGTTATCATTGATAGTATTTTCTAATCAGGCTCCCAGTCCAGTTTTGCTGTGTTATGCCCAGATGATGTTACATTATAGATAAAATTTGCTTTATGTGCAGTGTTTGCTTTGCTGCTGTGAGACAAGTGTTTTGGGATAAGAGTGTCATGGTGCCATGCCATTATTGCAGGTTTTGGAAGGTTTTCAGTGCCAAAAATCCAACCAAATTAAAAATACAAATTTAGCCCCTGATTCAACTTCTTCTATTACTGATCATGAGTGTGATAAAGGACAATTTCTAAATACTGGAAGGTTTGGCCAGTTTGCCTCGCTCTATAAGTGCTTCAAAATCATCTTTCAGCCACACTTTTCTCCTGGTGTCCAGTGAGAATTCACTACATTMTCTTTCCCACTCCATCCCCTACACTGGGACTGTCTGTATGTTGTGTAGGTGTGGCACTTATGTATATGGTTTAGGGATGGACTTGGCAGTGTTGGGTTAACAGTTGGATTCATGATCTTAAAGGTYTTTCCCAACCYAAACAATTCTGTGRTTTTATRTCTCAGATGTTCTTGMCTGATGCAGATCACAGGGAGGGGWGGATCAGCTGAAGTCAAGRGAGGTGTGAGTGATTTTTGTTCCAGCTCAGGCAATGAGTTAGTGCTGTGGCAGGCTGGTAACTCCTTTGATTTTGCACTTCTCTCATCTTTTTAATCGGCAATGGCATGCACACTGGCAGGAAAATCACTCCCAAATCCCTCAGTACAAGTGCCAGTCTCCTTGTTTCACAGGCACTGTTTAAAAAGCACATTGTACGTAGAAATCAGGCTGTGATGGGTCTTGGTAAGTGCTCTTCCTGAACTCACATGGCACCCAAAATTGCATGTGTAGCTTGGGCTGAAATATAGAATAACTGGTTTAAGTAAGTGTTATAAAGCATAGAATTTTTAGGTGGAAGAACCTGTGTGCTGGCAAAGCACTGCTGTGCCAGATGAAAGTGAGCTGGGAGTCCAGGAGGAACCTGTGACTGAGACACCTCTGACCTCCATTTAACAAAAAAAAAAAAAAAACATTCCTGGAGGGGCATCAGTAGTCAGCCAGCATTCAGGAGAATCACTGGTTCCACACCCAGTTGTCCATGACATGACCATGTGTGTCCTCTGCATTGAAAGAATAAACAGATGCAAAATATTAAAATGCAGTTAAATGTTGCAAGTAACATCAGTGTTTTCTAAAAATTGTAGCTTATCAGTTAAAGTCTGTGATTTCATCACACCTTTGGAAGAGCAGGCACCCTTCAGTGGACCTGCCCTGGCATCTGACACTTGGCATTCACTGCAGACTTTGCCTTTCCTTGCACATGAGATTTTCACTGTTCCACTGAAGCCCTTGGTCAGCATCTCTGCTCTCCTTGGTTTGATTTACTGCCCTCRTGAGTGGGATTAAAAAAAGGTCTGCAAAGGGAAATCCTGGCTCCAATGATGCTAATGGCAAAATTCCTGTTGTTTTCACAGAAATGGGATTATGCATGGTGGATACACCATGCAGGACTTAAAAAAAGCTAGATTTGGTGCTGAGATGTCACCTCTGTGGCCTGATTTTTGCAGTGCTAAAACTATGCAGAGAAACCCCACTGAGGATGCCCATGGAGCATGGAGCTGCACCTCAGCAATGGTGTCTGCTCCTCACCCTGCAGAGTTTTGAAGCTGTTGATGTTTGCTGTTCCTCCAGGATTTGTCTCTTGTATTTGATGCCCTGGATGCTTCTGGACGAGGAGAGCTGTGAACTGGGTGTAGGGCTGGATGCCTCCTGTGCTTCACTTTTCCTGTGTCCTGGATAATTCCTCTCAAGCAGCTGTTACTGCCCTGCAAACCCAGACCTGCTCTGGCACAGGACAGAGGAGCACAATGTGAACCTCCAGATGAGGCTTTTCTGTGCCAAGAGATGCTTTAAGAGGGAGGCAGAAGCCCAGGCACCTTAAATGACAGCCTGTCTGTTTTAGAGGTGGAGAAAACATCTRAGATTGTGCCTTTCTCAGTGTGTTTCAGCAAGTCTTGCTTCTCTTTGATAAGTGTGTTTTCCATGTAGTAAGATTCCCAGTAGCAGAGTGGTTTTGATATTTATGTCTTGTATGGTTTGCACTCAAGGCACCTGACAAGCTCTAAATAACAAAAAAAAAAAAAGAAAAGGCAGAAAAAGACAGAGTGATTGACTGAAGAAATAGGAGTCCCTCCATTTGTACAAAACAGGRCAGACTAAATTAAATTAAACTTGTGATTTTTGATAAGCAAAAATCTTATATAACTCATGCCGTGAAAGGCTCTGAGGTTCCTTTGGTGCTGTTTAAAATTGCCTTCTGAAAAATGTCTTTATTGTTCCAGAAGCCTTTAAAATGTCTCTTTATGTGTGAATATAACATGAGATTTGAGCATTACAGGTTTACTGCAACAATAAGCTGCCTGTAATTTAAAACATAAAGTTGATTGATCATGTTCTGCAGCACTAACTGGTATCGTCCACCTCTCACCATCAAGTAGGACTTGTCATTTTAACACTAATTAATTATGACTTTCTGTATTAGAAGTCATGTAAAACCAAGCACTTCAACAAATTCTTTCTGCTTTTTCCTTCAGGACTGTGAGAAACATTGTTTTAAGTCTCAARAGATGCATCAGTGTATTAAAAAAGGCAGAGATTAAAAAAATATCAAACTCTTTTTGTTGTCATCTCATGTGTAAATGCATAACAGGTTGAAATGGGCAAAGAAGGGCAGGGTTCATTTGAAAATGAGCACTAAGCTGTGTTTTGAGTTTCCTCCAGACAGCTGTGCATGTTAGTGATAATTAACACATTAATGAAGCCTTGGGCCTGGGTGAAACCATTTCCTGACATCAGCTGCTGTAGTGGCCCCTCCTTTTCAGGGCCATCCCAAAAGTGACAGTGTTGCTGTGCCATTTATGGAGACACAGAACCATTGAGGTTGGGAAAGACCTCTGGGATCATCAAAGCTGAGTCAACCCAACACTGCCATCTTTACCATCCTCCCAAGAGCCACATCTGTGTGTTTTTTGGACATTTCCAGGGGTGGAGATTCCACAGCACTCTTGGGCAGCCTGTCCCAGTGCCTAACCACCTTCTCAGGGATATTTTCCCTAATATCCAATCTAATCAATGTCTGTGCCTGTGCTACCAGTGGAGAGGCACCTGCAGGGACATCCAGGGGTTGTGGCCACTCTGGTGCCTCCATCACCCAGACCAGGCACCCCCTTGAGTGGCTGGGAAAAGAAAAGATTCATGGCCTGGCCTTCATTGAGTACTTTAATGCTTGCTGAGCCACTAACCACTGTGTTGTTTTATTGTTTCTTTCAGAACAGTAGACATAAAATAAATGTTTATTGAACCTTTGGAGGYCTGTTGATCAATAAGAGAAGCTGCACTGAAACCACAGAAGCACTGATAGCTTTTTCCTTTCGTATTCTCAGGGCTGTCTGTTGTAGGTTTCAGCTGATTCTCAAACTCTTGGTGAACAAAGAGAATGGGGGGAGAAAAAAAGTCTGATCAATTAAAAGTATATTCATCCAAGTGTCTGAAAGCTTTTATCTGATGTTCCATTTTCTTTCAGTTGTGTAATTGGGAATTTGCACAGARCAGCCTTCACTTATTTTTAATCCAGGGGAGAATGACAATAAAAGCCTGGCTGTTTCCTTACAAAGGCTTTCAAAAGTAAGGTCAGGGGGTTGGGATTGCTTACACCAGCTGGAGGTCTGACCTGGAAAAGAATGCAGAGATGAGATGGTCAAGTGGCAAGAAACAGCAGAGTTAAAATTACATAGTTATATTCTCAGCCTAGAGAGGGATGAGTCTCCAGAAGCTTTTTAGTATTTTCCACTGAGTTATTAAAGAAATGCAGTATACAGTAAGGAAAATGAGGATTWATTTGTTGTTTGGTAGTAGTGCAGAAATAGCTACACACTGCAGTCATTGCTCCTCATAGTTTAAATCCTACCTCTGTTTGTATTGGTATTTAGTAAAAGAATTCCAATTATCTTATTGTCCCAAATGCATCCTGACAAGATCAGATTTGCAGCCATGGGTTCAGCCAACAGCCTTTACCTGTAGTAGCTTGCATTCCTCCTCCAGGAGGATTTTCAGGAGGATTGAACAAAATTTGGGAGATTTTAGAGGTTTTGTTCCATTTTCTCTGTTTTGACAGCAATGCTACCATGGCCTGCAGCTGTGGTGATATTGGTTTCATAAGCTGTCAGCTCTTTTTCTACCCATATATCGTTAAAGATCTACTCGGTAAAGCACTTAATGAAGTGTTATGGTGGATTTATTTGCAGTCAGATTTGTTATAGTATTTATAAATATTCCTATTTGTTACAGTAAGAAGATGGTCGTGGTTACTCAGTATTGTAGGTGTCCTGGTGACACTCTGAATATTTAAATGGAGTGTAAATCATAATTAAACCTCGGTAAATGACAGTTCAGAGCATCTCTGATGCTTTTGCTGTTGGAGGTGGCAGTAATAAAGCTGTTGCTTGTCTAGAAAAATAAGAAAAAACCTTATTTCTTTTTCAGTTTCATGTATGGTGAATTGACAGACAAGAAGACCATTGAAAAAGTCAGACAGACTTTCGACAACTATGAGTCAAACTGCTTCGAAATTCTCCTCTACAAGAAAAACAGTATGTATACATTTGTGTGTGGTGCTGGGAGTGAAAAAGCGTATTTAAAATGTGTAATAGACTGAGATAAATTTTCATTTTGACATATGGGTAAATTTGGGGCAAGATTKGGAGAAGAAACAGGTATTTTGGTTGCCACAGCTCAAGAAGAGATCTCTCTTTTCAGGCCAAGCATTCCGATTGCCAAGAATAGTCGTTGTTCCCTGCTGTCTCTCGTCTGACTCCTTTCACAAATATATTTAGTTTTGAGGATTGTTTCCCTGGAGGGAAATTGACTGGGTTAGGTGAAGAGAAACCCTGAATGAGGTTCCATCACAYGCTCAGGAAACTCCCCCATGTCTCCACAAGTGTGTGAGTTGCTCCCCGTGGTGTTGGGATTCCTCCGTGCTGTGTGACCCAACCCAGTGCTGAACCTGGCATGTAGCCCAGGGATTGGGTACAAAAACCAGGGGCTGTCATAACTTCAGGAGATGCAGGACCTGTGTTCCTTCTTGTTGATGAGCATTGGGTTTGCGGGAATTTGCCAGAGCCAGAGATTTTCCTCATTTTGTCTTAACCACGAGCCATTCCAGTCACATTTTTTGTTCTGGCTTATCGAGCTTAGAGCATTTTCTGAGCACAGCCCATGCTGTTGTGTGGCCTCAGCTGGATTTGTGCAGGGTGGTTGCAATTCCTGTTGTTGTCAGTGGACATGAAGAGCCTCCTCCACTAGTACAGACCATCTTCCTGAGACAGAAAACCAAAACTGAGACTGAACATCATGCCTGATGATTTTTGGCTTTCCTTCCATGTACCCTTTTATACTTTTATATCCTTTTATACATTTTCTGTACCCTTTATGTATCCCTTGTACCCCTTTGCCCACATTCTTGTAAATTCTTGTAGCCTGATATTCCAGCTTAGTTTAGAAGTTCTGCTGAGCAGAGAGACCAAACATCCTCAGGAAGGAGTCAGTGTGCCCTGTGCCATCTTAAACCCATCTCCAGCCTTGGGTGAAGCCTTCTGTCCAGAACATCCTGTGTAAACTGGGCTCTGGCCTCATCTGGGGAGGGGATTCATTAGAATAGGAAGACATTACTGCATTTGTGAAGTTTCTTACTGGGGAATCCTAGATAGATATGCTAATTCCTGAAACCTATAAAACTTGTACCCGTGCTGTACAAGGGGGTGCTTTCTGCCATCAAGTTGTGCACCTGGGATCCCAAATACYGAGGTGAAACCCTTTTTATCCCCTTAACTGTGTCTGTGTCATTATTAAAAACTGGCCTTTCAGGGCAACAAACATGCTGCAGAAGAGCTGGTTCCTCTGCCCTGAGCAGGATGAGTTGACTGGGTTGGTGGCCAAGAGCAATCCCAGACCAATCCTGATGGAGGAATTCTCTTCAGTTTGGCCCTCAGTGCCCTGCAAAGGATGGGGCTGGGGAGCATTCCCCCTGTTCCACCTGCCTGGAGCCCCTGGGTGGGCTTTGGTGCTGGCTGAGCTTGCCAAACTGATCCTGGAGCTTTTCCCTGCGTGCTGTGGCTGAGGGAAGGGAATGTTGTCCCTGTGCCTGACTGCCCCATTTCACTGCAAACTCACCTGAACCTTCCATGACATTGAAGGAGGAGCATCCTGGACACCTCCTCTTACACTTTACCTCCATTTTCCCTTTTTAGCCTAAATCTTCCTGTGTGGGCACTAAAATAGCAGCAAATGTTGATACATTTCTGCCTGCGTCAAGGCATTTTAGCCAACATGTTAATTAAAGAGAGAAGCAAGAGCAGCTCAGAAGTCCAGCTGTTCCTGCAGGTGCCCAGRGGAGCCCTCCAAATGACCTCTTTTTGGTTCCTGAGCATATGGAGGTGTCTGTTCTGGACATTTTCTGCTTCTCTTCCCGTTTCCTGGGCAGGTTACCTGGGTGCCCCCTCTAGCAGGGGAATTTCCTGGGATAATCTGATTTTTGCTGGTGGTGGTGCCCAGCACTGCCATGCCCTATGTTCTCCCAACCTTGGCTTCTTTTATCAGGAGAAGCTCCTTCTCTAGAAAGGGCTAGTCCTGAACTGAATTTATTTTATTTATGTATAAAAAGAGAAAAGTCTTCTCTTGGTGATWTTCCTGTAACAAATCAGATGCTTTTTGCTTTGGGTTGTGGATTGTCTGCTGKAGCTCGATGATGCTTCAGAGATTTATTGAGCTGCAGTTGCCTTAATAAAATCTTCACCTTTGSCCAGATCTCCAAGCCCACACTTCCCATAAGTTACACAGGATTACAGAAGGACTTCATGGAAAATTACTCAATATTTCTCTCCGGGCTTGAGTCACTTGCCATCCATAASATCTGTTGTCAGTTTTCTTCTCCATCACCTGCAGCCCAGAGCCTCAGCCTCTCAGTAATGCTGACAGGCTCACCTCTTGGCTCCAGCTCAGCAGCTGGTGTGCTCAGGTTTTGCTTCCATTTGTCATTCTCTGGTCCTTCAAGGCACTGCCTGCTTATCCCCCAGGCTGAATATCAGAGCAGAGAAAAATAAGGATTAGTTATCTGCTGGTGTGGATGCACTTCTGCRGAGTGTTGGTGGCTGYTCTGTGRAAGGGCTTCTGTTTATCACCTTCAYGAGGGCTGCAGTGCCTTTACCCTCCCACCCACATTTTCAAACTTTAGATCCAGGTGTGCCATGTGTTTTTGGTAGTGTGGCACAATGTGGATTTTTTTTTTTTATTTTTTTTATTTTCCTTTACCCATTCCCTTATGCTTTTGGCAGAGGGGGATTTTGAGGTTTTCAGGTTGCTTTCYCATCTTCCTCCCCAGTGTTACAGAGATGATCTTTAAGGGCTGATGTTCTCCAGCAGCATCTGTTCGACTGCTGACTTCACCCTCCCCTTGGTGTTTTAACMCAGCTCGCAGGCTCCAGCTTTGGAGCTGAAAGCTTGCTGCAGCTTTCTTCTGCTTTGCTGCATTCCCCTGTTGTGTAGTCCTTCCCTCTGCCCACACAACTGTTCACCAACCATATTTGGCATGCATATACATATATATAAACTATATTTATTTATATATATATATGTATATGCATGCCTCTCTCTCTAACGTGTGTATATATATTTATATATATATATATATATATATATATATGGTAATGGGAAACTTCTTTGCCTTCTTTTCCCCATTTTGCTGCTTCTACAGCAGTAGCCACCTTGCCTCTGTCTTGGATTTTTGTCAGCACCTTTGTGCAGGTTTAACCTACTTGTTCTCAGAGCTTCCCAAATGGATCCAATGGATTCCCAGGTATAAGTGCGAGTTATTTCTCCAGAGAGCTGCAGCACTCTGTTTTAGTAGTTATAAAAAGTCTTTTATCTTGGGTTAGCAACTGGGAATTAAGATAATCAAGTAATCGGCATAATGGCTTTGGAATTATCACAAAAAGCAGTCCCACATCTCTCCCACCTCTCCGGTTTACTGGCAGTGAGTTACTGGTTTAATCCCAGTCGAATTTCAATGAACCCTTGTGGGTTTTAACCTTCCCCACAGTAGTCCCAGCCCAAATGGTTTTCTGTGCCCTCTGGGATCCATCCTGCCGTTCCTGGCACAGCTCCCTGTGCATTAGAGGAGATTTGGGGGGGCCCCTGTGGATAACAGTGGGCAAGAGGCTCGTGTCAATGTGTYAGCTCTCAGGCAGCTCAGGAGAAAAGCCCTTCTGTCAGCTGGCTGAAAGCACAATCAAATCCCAGAGGTAATTAGATGGCTGTGAAGGCATTTATAGCACGGTGTGTGTAGGTGCTCGTTTGGGAGGGAGGGACRCAGAGCTCTGCTGGATGGAGAACATCTGACATTCCCAACCCTGCAGGGGAACAGGGTGTTTCTAAGGAAATGGCTCTGAATATTGTAGGATTTCACCCCTTATGGAGCACACCTGCCTGTGTGTAGGGCACTGCCACGGGTGTGCCAGCCTGGAATTGGTTTCAGCTCCTGAAATGCACAGGSAGGATTTACCAAAAGCCAAGCTGGTCACTGCAGCACCGAGGGCTTTTGTTGGCTGTGTATTTGATGAGTGGTGGGGCTGGAAAAATACTTGGTTTCATTTCAGAAGTGAAGTAGAGGTAACTGTGCTGGGAGATTGCTGCACTGGGCAGGGCAGTGAGGGGGTGGAGGTGTGACCTGAAACACTAAAGAGAAACCAAATCTGATTTATCCTGTTAGGAACTGAGAGTCCAGCTCAGGTCCTCTTAAATAATGTAGTCACAGAAAATTTGGAGCACTTCACAATTTGATAACTCCACATTATGTGAAGGAGGAATCAAAGATACCATCCACCCATTATTTTTCTTACCTTTCTACCTTTTAGACTAAGTCTGTGAGACATGCTGGGAAAAAAAACAAGAGCATTTTATTTCAGAATGAACTTCTAAATAGCATCCTGTCTCTGTTTATCATCCAGTTAGATTAATGAAGCTCTAAAAATGGGAATATGTTGTTTTCTTTGGAGGAAGTAAAATTAAAAGCCCTGGAAGATGCAGAAATATTACACGCCCCTAAACTATATATGTGTTTAATAATGTGTAAATGTTGTGGGCTGGGGGAAGTTTGTGCTGCACCACATTCCAATGTCACTTTTTTTCTCTGCTCCAGGAACCCCAGTTTGGTTCTACATGCAAATTGCACCTATAAGAAATGAGCATGAAAAAGTGGTTTTGTTCTTGTGCACTTTTAAGGATATCACCTTATTCAAACAACCAATTGAAGATGATTCAACAAAAGGTAAATATGAAATACATTATTATTATTTTTTGTGAATGATAGAAGTACATGCTTGAGCTCAGACYTGTCACAGGGATGTGCCATGTCTGTGATCTGCATCTTGAGCTGAGGAAATGTTTCGTGACCTGTCAAGAGTTTCAATGCCATGCTCCTAATTTTTTTTTTTTTAAAGATAAATCACCATGAGTGGAAATTGCCTACCAGTGTTTTTCTAGAGTCAAAAACCTTCCTTTTTCTTTGTAATTCACTTCTCCATCACTACAGTCAGCAGTTTCTAAAAATTACCTTTTTGAGTCGTTTGAATGCTGTGTTGTTTTGGGACATCTTTCTCTTACGGGACAGATGTCATCTTTTCAGGAAAAAAATAATTCCAGCTCCTTGTGATGAGATACTGRTATTTCTTCTCCTTCTCCCTCTTGGAGGTGAAATGCAAAAAAAACCAGCCAGGTTGAGTCATTTATTACTGCTCAGGAACGATGCCTGCATTGTGCTTGCACTTCTCAGCTTCAGGGGAGGATTTTGTTGAAATGCTCTTGTCAGTGAACAGCCCATGGGCAGACCTGCAGCCTTGCAGRGGAAATTGGTGGGGAAAGGTACAGAGGATGTGACAGCATCACCCTCTGCTTTGGCTGTGAGAYACGTGTCCTGTGTCAGGTTTACATGTGTATGGCTTTGGGTGAAACAATACACGCTTACATAAACAGGGATATTACCCACATCCCTTGGAAGCTGCCTCCTGATGATTAATTCCTCACTATCTTTTTTCCCTTCACGCTTGAAGAAGGCTTGATATCTCACTCCGAGCTGGTGTGCTTTAAGCCATCTTCTTTGGAATAAAGTTGGTGTCATTTGAATGCAAACAGCGTTTAAAGTAATTTCTTAATATCTAGATAGTGCTTATTACAAGTGTTTGGATAACTGAAAACTCAGTGTACAAAGGCAGACTTAAAACGAAAGGCTCCCCTCCGAGCTAACACTAAACATGACAATTTTTTTTTTTGTCTAGAGAGTATTATCCATAAAATTATAAGATCCTGAAATAAGAATACCTCCTCATCCATCATAAACTTTACTGCCTCTACAATTTAGCTAGCAACCTGCAAATGTTCTTTATTTCACTTTCAGCTCCATAATGTGGAATTCTCCTGCCTGGAAATAATTGGAATTTTTTAGGGTAAATGCTGGTTAATTAAAAGGACTTTTTAGGTATTTGAAGGCATGGGACTGGCTGCTTACTGCAGTGTGTAACACATAGTGTGCGCTCAGAAGGAAAAAGCCAATCTTTGCAAGAATCCTGTGGCAGGGTTTCAATGCTAATCAGTGATTTCTCGGGGGACCAAGTTGTATCTGACATGGAACCAGCTCCCAGATCTGCCCTTTTCCCAGCTCTGCCCCACTTCCCGCAGGACTGAGCTGCACTGGGGGGTGTTTGACTGCAGCAGGACAGAGAAGACATACTGAGGGTGGCCCTCAAATGATGAATGTTGCCTCCTTTGGATTCTCAGTCTGGRAATTTCAACTCTGCTGCTTTCCCTGGGGAAGCAGGGATGTGCTCCAGGGGCTGAGCTCTTCACCTCCCCATCTCATGGCAGAGGAGGAGCAGAACCCCTGTGGTATCCAGAACAGGAATATGTGTTCCTGTGGGAAGGAGCAGTAGCAGTGAAATACATCATTTGTGTACTGCTGCTCTGCATTCGTTAAAATGCCAGGTACTAACGATGGACATCACAAAATATTGTTCTCAGCAGACAGAGAAGTTTGGCTGTGTGTCTGTAGAGTCTTTATTTCTGCCAAAGTCATCCTCTAAAACCCCAAAACTCAAACAGAACGTTTCAGAGGCAGTGCAGCCACATCTCCCAAGTGCCTTTAAAGCACAGGATTGGAGCCTTAAGGATCTGCTCAGGGTGCTTTGATTAGAGCTTTGATTAGCATTGATCAGTGCCTCCAACAAACCTCGTAATTGCAAACCACTGACCCCATTTATCTTCTGCCTTTGCATAAATTTTGCAATGGCTTTTGCATCCTTGATATAAAGAAATCATATTCAAATATTTGCACAGCTTTACGACAGGGGTGGGGAAACAGCACTGTTGCATTGCCCTCTGTGCCTCAGCTGTGTGGATCTGTGGGATCCCACAGCGATGGGATCACAGTGTTTTTGTGTCAGACATGGTGCTATGAGAGATACATAATTCATTGTCCCTGCAGATAACATTACAATGTGCTCAGAAGCTGCCAGGCCACTTGCTTTTTGAATTATGAGATCGGTAAACATATACGTTAAAATTTAGTGGGGGATTTTTTAAAGTCTTGTGGAAAAGGGTTTCAGTAAAATACTGCTGTTGAGTGCTGGGATTTGCCATTGAAAGGGCTATTTTTTCTTGCTCCCCTCCTTTTTAAAAAAAGGATATTTCTTCAGAAATTCTGTCAGGACCATGCAATACATAATACATAAGTAACTATGGTGCAGATGAGTTACTGTGTGTTACTTATGGGAGCAGTAAATCTGAGCTAAAAAATTCAGCAGAAATAAAATATTGATGCCATTATGCAATAATCTCCCCACACCAAAACGTTCTGCGAYGTTCAAAGGTGTGTTGCTTTGTTGTACAGCTTCAGTTTATCACGCTCTTGCGAGGTGTTTAACTCATATCCATGATTGTATCTACCCTGCAGAGCGTCTGTGTGTCCTCTCTCCTGGAAATACCTGGTTGGGCTGGCCAGATCTGCTGCAGTGGGGGTTGGGATCTCGGGGAGATCTTGGCAGGGAGCAAACAGCAGGTTTGGGGGACAGAGAGTGGTACTGAGGATGCAGATTTGCCCAAAAGGGTCGAGCACTTGGTGGGTTTGTGAAAACAGAGCGGACAAATAAAACAGTTGTCTTTTTACAAAGCACATTGCAAGGGTGAGGTGGGATTTTTTTTTCTTTTTTTTTCCCTGATGTGGGCCTAGAAGAGTGTTTTTTGAGTGCAAAAAATACAGTTGAATTCACAGGGATGAGCCCTGTGCGAGCAGAAGGAGTCAGAGAGGTCTGTGACAGATGGTGTCTGTCTCTGCTTACCTGTGTGCTCACCATTAATGCTGAAAGGAGGAGGAGGAGGAGGAAGAAGAGAGGAGGAGGAGGGGGCTTTGCTTGCCAGAGGGAGTAACAGTAATGAAATTTTTTCCAGGCTCACCCAGGGGGCTGTGAATTTGCTGCRGACCAGAAGGCTGTTGAAACTTACTGGACTGTAAGCAAGACTGGAGAAAAAGGATATTTAAAAGCTACCTTCCCCTCATAAAATACAGTGACAGAGATCAAAACCCTTGTTTTCTGAGAGGGTACAGGCAGTCGACACTAAAGATTGGACTGACTTGTTTTCTTGTTACTCATGCTCCGATCTATTACCGCTGGCTGATGCGTGGGAGACCTATGATGTATGGCAATGTAACGGGGACCAAAAAGTGCTGTAAAGYCATTCCTTGTAAATGGAAAACTACTTTCAAAAGTGTCTAACCAGCCAAAAGTGTCAAAACCCYCCAGCAACTCGAGCAGAAGCGGCAGAAATGGTAATGGAAGGAAGGATCAGCTGCCTGGTTGATGTGTTCCCTCCTGACTGAAGGTATTTCAGGCAGCTGTGCAGGTCTAGGGGGAGAGAGAACACCTCCATTGATTTGGGTTTTGGTTTTTAGGGCCCAGCTCCCRAGCCAGTGGCTGCTGAGCTGTGGATGGGGGCAGCATGGAAGAAGAGGTGTGAGAATTCAAGCTGGGGCAGAAGGTGATGGCTGCACTTGGTGGTCACTGGGCTGATGTTTTATTTCCTGCTGAAGGAGCTGTGCTGTGTTTGTGTGATCRCCCTTTCTTTCCTTCTCCTGCTCCTCTCTGCTAATGGGAATGTTTGTCTGATCTGGGTTCAGCAGCAGGTGCCACCAGGATGCCCAGGTGTCCTGGCTCGGTGCCSTGCACAGCAGAGGTGGAAGGCCATTACAAGCATATAAAAAATCCTATTATGTATTTTCTTCRAGTGAATGAAACCCAAAGAATATTTTTTTTAATGTTTGTACCATTGTCGGGTCACAGCTGGATGCTTTTATCAGCTTGCTGAGCTTTTATTCTGTCTTTACCCAATGGCCTTTTAAAAACATCTGAAGACTCTCAATTCCTCCAAAGACACACCGTGGTAATAATCTTATGTTTATTTGTCAGGAAAAGAATGAAGCCATTTTTCTGGGCCTTAACTATTAAAAGGGTGAATGGGGCCACTAAAAATGTTAACACCGTTTGAAGCCAGAAGTGCTGTAGATTCTATTGAACAGAAAGTTTAAGTATAGGAAAAAAAAAAAAAGACCAGCATTTTTGATTAATATTGCAGTTTCACCTAGTTGTGCAATGGTTTTATTCCCTTTGTTATTATCATCAGTGAAAGAAAAAAAACCTGGTCTCTAGGTAAACTTCGATTTCTTATTTTGGCTAGGATTCTCACTGTTTATCTGGAGTCTCTGTTGAGTGAAATATCAGTCTTGCCACCTCTGGAGTGACAGGGAAGTTCTAGGGAATACCAAGGGGATATTGAATCAGGATGCAAAGTTGTGTTAATGAGCCCCCCACAACTCAGGACCATGTGCTGTTAACAGATGGCATCAGGAGATGGCACAGCAGGATCCTGAAGTTGCTTTTTTTTTTTTTTTTTTTTTCCTTTTCACTTGATAGAGCCAGACTTTGATAATCAAGTCTGTCTGGGACAATGCTGTAATGCTTCCAATGATATAACTCTTTATGGTTATATAACTCTATATAATGATACAACTCTATCTCAGAGTGTGACAGGGCTATAAAAAGTGTAATAGTTGCAGAAATATGCACTTATGGCTTGCTAATCCTTGCTAAGCCTATAATTCTGATCCTTTTTTATCTTTAATAAGTGCAGGTTATTAAGCATATATAACTAAGTGCACATGGGGAACTTTTTTTTCCTTGAGGGGGTATCAATCCTGGYGATAATAGAACAAGTGGGTGGAGG